TATAGTGCAGCCTCCTACACTGGGGCTGAGTTAAAATAAAGTATGCACCTTAATGCACACATGCCTCAGCACATACAAACTCGTCAACCTTAGTCCAATGCTGAACGGTGACGTGACAGATGGAGTCTGTGAAGTAGTCACTTACTGTAGCAGACAACAGTGTCTAATTTATAACTGACAGTCTGTAAGAAACAGGTAGAGACATCAAATATACACAGACACGTGGGACAGGGAGGGATTCAGCCGTGTTGTGCTTGGGTCTATCCATCAATGTCCCAGCTGAAGAGGTGATGTTTCACCAACATATCCTGCACTCCCTCTTTCAGCGGCCTCTGCTCCTTTTCCTGGAAGAGAAAGGAAATGTTAAAAGCTTTTACCTGAATACAAAGTAAACACTACACCAGAGAGGGCAGTTTAATTATATTAGACATGTGACCAAACAGCAATTGGCAGCTTTCAAGAGTGCACTTTGAGTGCTGCTAACAACGTGACTGAAGTCTGGCCAGAGGGGATTTACAGATCGAGCTGATACATGGAGATTAATAACTGTAACAGCAGAGACTCTAAGGCAGTGAGAAGTACTGGAGGGACATAAACAACATGAAGCGATCATTAGAAATGTAACTTCACTTTTTCAAAAGCTCAAATAAAAAAAAAGGTACATTAGGGTAAGGACGGGAACTACAGAGTGAGTTGATTTGTGTGGTAGGGTAGCAGTCTCACACCAGCAGGTAAGTAAACTTGTCCCTAATGGCTACACTAAAGCATGTACACTCTCAGATGTGACATGTTACCTAGAGGTCCCAACTAAAGAGGTGATGCTGAACCAGCACATCCATAACTTCTGCTTTCAGAATTGCAGATTTCTGAAACAGCATAAAGTCATACAGTTTTTCTCCCCTGAATACTAACATGTTGTCTTTGAATAGTAAGACTTGCTTACTACTGCTCTATATGAGGAGGCTGTGGTTTATCTCCTTGACTCACCTCTTTCTTGTCAGGTAGCTCACAGTCTTGGGAGAGGCTGAAGGCAAACTTTGATAGGACCCTGAGGAGACGACAAACATACAACAGTCATTATTTGTTTGATTAGTCAGATTATCTGTCTATATTGATTCACAGGGTTAATATTGCCAGCCAACATCAGGAAGTCAGCATCAAGGCAGCAGCTTATTCAATTTAGTCTTTCTTTGGTCAAAGTTTCCACAGTTCTTTTTTTTTTTTTTTTTAGATCTTTTGTTTTGGAGTGGCTTTGTCCCTTTAATGGCAAGACAGTTTGAAACATGAAACAGGTAGAGAGAGCTATGGACTGGATTCGAACTCAAAGTCACTGCAGCAAGGACAGTGCCTTTGTATGTGGGGTGCCTGCTCTAACTACTGAGCTACAGGGCACCCAAAGTTCCCACAGTTAACCACTTTCAATGTGCTGTCTGAGATTTTAATGTTCTCTAAATGTAAGATAAAGTCAAAACTGGCTGCAGTTTTTCAGTGTTTCATACCTGAGCTCACACTTGATCTGTACCCATCCAGGACTGCGAAGGAATGACCATGGATGATACCATTTCTCTACAGCAGCCATGCTGGAACACAACACCTCCAACCACAGGTGCAGCACCTGCTCACTGGAGGGGCAGACACACATTAAGAATCAAACTGCCTGAGGGTGTGTGTGTAAAATCATAATGAGCACATATTTAAGCCTTTGCTGTTTGATAACATGTTCAGAGTAACTGTGACAATTCATTTTCTGCTTGTGTATGTGTGTGTGTGTGTGTGTGTATCACTCTTGAAAACTCACTTTAGTCCGACGCAGACAAGAGATCTAAACTTGACATCCATCTGTGCATGTGCTGTGTCGTGGCTCATATTGACTGACTGCACCGCCTAGGAAGAGCAGACAGAGGGCGCTCACACACTTCCTACTAACATTCATTCCTGCAGGCTGATTTTAAAGACATGACTAGGCCTCACCACACAACACTACTTTCAAGAATTATTATGGTTTCTTATTGTTGAAAGCTAGAACAAACTTCTCATGTCCAAACTATAATCTAAAATGTTTTACTTAAGTCCTCTGAGTAAATGCTTACTCACTCTGTACAGCAGCTCCTCTGGCGTTAGAACTTTCCCATCTTCATCTAACCTGGTAAATATCAGAGAGGGAGGACTTGTTACCTTAAAATGCTGCAGGCGTATACCTTAAAAGTGGATCCTCACTTCACTGCCAAAACACATTTCAGTTCTTACTGAGTAAATATCTCATTTGTTTCAGATCCCAAGTTTGTTTGTGTTTTAAACCAGGCGTGTTTCAAAGCCTCATCACACTTTCTTGCTGATGAAAGTGTCTGGATGATCCAGTCCTCAAAAACACTTCCATGTGAATATAATCCCTCAAAGCCATATTAAAGGATCACATGAGCAGACATTTTAACAAACAAATGAAAACATAAGGACAGTTTTACCTGTAAGTTTTACACAGTACCAGTCTGGAATAGACGGAGTTAAAGTCCCTCTCTACTTCTCTACTGGCTGCCTGAGAGAAAACAAGAAGACAAAGAATGATAAAAGCTATGGTGAATGTGATACAATGGCTTCGTGCAATGAGGTGCCATTCAAAGAAAAACTCTCCTACCTCTTCTATGAATAACCAAGGATGACAAGGCCCTCCCAGTATAGATGGTTTCTTGAGACCGTGCTGAAAGATGGCCTTTAGGGCCGGACACAGCGTGCCCCTGGCCAGGTCTGTGACTGCCTCTGTCACTGAGTCATCACCTGCTAATGAGTACTGGGGACAGACACACAAACAAAAAACATTGGTAAGGATACCATTAATTAATATCCAAGATACTGAAAGGGGAAGAAAACAAACATATAAACTGACAAATGTCACATGAATTAAATATTTAAAGGTTCATCTGCTGTAAAATCAAAGTCAGCACAGACACTTAATCCTAATTATGATGATATTATACTGCTTCCATACCTCTTTGCTTCTCTCATCTAGGATCTCCACAAACTTTGCTGGAAACCATCCTGTTACAAAGAGCCGCAGAGAATGTATGTTAAATGAGCTGTCAGACAGATTATAGCATAATCAATTATTCAGAGGGCAACAGTGGGTGTTGATGAGACAAGGGACACACCTCTAAGGCCGTTGAGCTCTCCGACCCAACAGTGTTCATCTTTCTGTGAGATGATCTGAAAGAGAAAAAGAAAAATACAGCTGTTAGATTCAGAGGTAAGGGGGTATGTAAAGAGTAAATACAGTGTGGGTACATGGTTGGAAACAAGAAGCCGAGTGTTGTCTGTGCACTTCTGTGCAAGTCATGACTCACAGTGATGATGTCATTCTTCCTGAAGCCTAATTCATCATCATCATGTCGCTCAAAGTCCAGCAAAGCCTTCGCCCGCCTCCGTCGGTTGCGAGACACCACAAGAAAGTTTTCATGATCTCGCTGGTGGCTCTCCATGGAGTAGTCAGGAGTCAGGTCCTAGAGACAAGATGGGAGGGGACAGAGTGAATGAAAAGCAATGAGGAATCTATACTGAATGCTACATTATGATGGTATTACAATATTAAATTCTGACACGCCAGGAAATTAAAGGAGGTTGATTCATAATCCACAACAGGGCATAAATGACACTTTACCTGTGCTGCAGTGTGTGAACTCACAGTGCTGGAGTGATGTGGGTCCAGACAGTGAAAGTGCTCTGCAGTGCGGGCGATGGCCTCCCGCAAGGCTGCCACCAGCTCTGTCTGCTTAATGTTCTTGGATTTCAGGGCCTCTGCCTCATCCTCCCCAAACAGCAGGGAGCTCAGGGTGGACTTCCTGCGCAGGGATTGTCTCCTCACCACCTGAACACATTCAAACACATGATAAATTATTATTATTTTTTACATTTCTAAAGTAAAAACATATATATGTAATATAGTAGTATGTTATATTTCAGCACACTGACTTTGAAAAAGCTACAACGACTGACCTTGTTGAGATTGGTGTTGAGTGTTGTGTTGTTTCCATTGTTGAGCTGCGCCTGTTCATTTAGGATGTAGGCTAGGTGCTTGTGCCGGTGGGCTTCCAGTGTTTCCTGGGATAGCGTCCCTGCTAGCCTCATAGCCTCCCCGAGAACTGCAGGCCCATCTCTCAGCTGACTTGGCAAGTCCGATAGAGTATTAAAAATAGACGCAGAGTTCTCTGATGATACGAGCTCCTCCTCCTGGGGTCGGGGAGTAAATTTCACAAGGATTAATACAGTTTTTGTCAATAGGAGGAGTAGGCGGTGAATAGTTGGCATGGCATGGTTTCTGGCTGTAGTAGTGTGTAATTGTTGGCATAGTCGCTGTAACATGACCTTTGGATAAACAGAAACTATTATCATCATCTTCTAACGTAGAAAACACATGGAGTGACTACACTAATAAAATAACTGAATAGTGAATATACCTTGATCTTGAGCATGCCCAGTGTGACCTGGAAGAGCACCAATGAGCCCTGGTAGAAGAGCAGGTCCCAGATCCTGAGGAGCAGACGGATGTCCACCACACTGGCAAATGATGTCAGGAACCAATGCAGTGTGATCAGCGACAACTCTGGATGTAGAACAGGGAGGGGATTACATGCTGTATGCTACATACAGGTTATAAATACTTTCACATTAACTGTATCAGAGGATGATTTGTCACCAACAACATTTGCTAGTTTCATCGAACAGTTCTATTTGTTTGTTTATAAACTGCACAACAGAAGGTTGAAATGTATTAACTGAAAGCCCGTTTCCTCTCTGATGCCACGCACCACACTCGCACCATCTTTCCTAATAACACCCATCCTTACCTATGTCATGCTCCTGCAGAAGACGGTCGAGGGCTGGCAGGTACTGAACAATGAGCTGGCGGAGAACCCTCTGGTCAGTTTGGACGCCCAGCAGAGTGGAGGAGAAGTAGGATGGAGGAAGGAGGTCTTCAATCAGGGCACACATCATCCACATCACATCCTCTTCCTCGAGAAAGAGCAGCAGACAGGAAACCACCTGGAGGGATCAAGGCAGGTGTGAGGGCAGTCAAACAGGAAGCAGTGAAGATGGAAAAGGTGAGAAGAAAGACAAAGCAAAACACAAGGATGTGTATGGATGTACATGTATTCAGCTGGCTGGTGTGATGTAGTTGTTTGTGGCAACATGAGGTACTGTATGTGCGTGTTCTCACCATGCCAGTGCCCTGACAGTACCCAATGTCTGGGTAGAGCCAGGCCAGGCCTCTCAGTACACGTCTTAGCCTCGGCACTCCAACGCTGGTCAGACTGCTGAAACATGCATTGGTTGGCATGGTCCGTAACAAGTCCTTCTCTATCTGAGGGACAAAGGATGATCGCATCATGATTACAAAACATAGTAGCAGAAAAAAAGGCAATAAAGACCTCACAATCACTTCTGTTAATGCCTTGTTAAATTATTCAGAAATGTACCAGTGACACGATTAACAAAGGTATTATGTGAAAGGTTATTCTCTCAGTTTGTAACCACAAACACAAACAACTGAAAGAAGGGCCACCAGGGGTCCGTTTCACAAAGCAGGTTCAACAAACTCCGAGTCTAATCCTGAACTCTGAGTTGATCTACTCTGAGATAGGAAACTCTGAGTTTCTGGTTCCAGAACAGCTGATTTGAATCAGTTTAATCAACTCGGAGTAGTTTCACCTGGAGTTAAGCACGTGCACCACAACTATAAAAAGCCAGCATCAATAGAGCCCCGATTCGATGAGTCACCATGGCAACAGGGAAGAGGAGGGCTGCATTTTTCACCCCACTAGAATTAGAAATCTTAATGCGCTCATATGTAGTCCTTTGCAATCACAATAATATTACAGGGGAAAACTGCTTGAATGGTAGCCTATTAATTTATTTCATTTAGGTGCAATCCCGCGGGGGAGAAGCGCACTTGGCAGCAGCTTAGGATGAAATATAAAAACATTGTTCAAACATGTAAGACCTCGGCATAATCTCATGGGGGTACCTCATTTTGATCACGCTATACATTGTAAAGTAAATATTAAGTGGCTGTTTGACTGTGCAGTTGTTTTATCCCCAACATAATGCTGTTTTCACACACATAAATGTCTTCTCATCTATATCATGTTCTGTTAAATAATTAAGCCTATTTAAACTAACACAGACTTCTACTCAGCCAACAGAAAGAAGGCAGATGCCCGTAAAATGAGCACACTTTTCTGACCGCCCTGCATGTTGCCTTACTCAAGTGCTCAGCATCTCCGACATTGTACAAAAAACTTCCATTCGCAAAGAAACGCAGCGCAACACACAATATCTGCTGGGATGTGAGAGCATGACTACGATTAGTAATGTTGCAAATGTAAGGACGGATTAGGTTGTGTATGTAGATGATGGACTGTGACGTGAAACGGTACCGCTCAAAAAGATAATTGTCTGGAAATGCTAAAACATCTATGCGCGGTCTGATAACATCTCCCGACGAATATTTAATTCTCTGCGCAGTAATGCTGCACCTTCACCCACGGGATCGTTATCAAAAGGACATGCCATGTTAGTGAAAAAAGTCGCCACCTACTGTGCCTAATGGACTTCTAATACTGACTCTGATTTTTTAAAATGATTTTTTTAAAAGACAGACGGCAGAACTAGGCTACGCCAAAACTCACCTGCTGACTGAATGAATGAGGAAATCAAATGGAGTGTGTGGCTCTGAAAGAGGGCGGAGACAGAGAGAAACTCGAGGTTCGTTGAGAAAAACCTGGTCCCGACCAGGTTAGGTTCATAGAGTCTGTTACTACGGTAACTGACCGAGAGCTTAAGTTACCTCTCTCTCTGAAACAGGCTAGAGTTACACCTCTTTCTCTGGTTTGAGTTACCTCCCTTTTTGAAACGGAAAACTCAGAGTTTCCCTCATTTCAGGGTTAACAGACTCTGAGTTTTCACTAAACCTGCTTTGTGAAACGGACCCCTGAAGCAAAAAAAAGTATGATAGAGAAAACTGTTGTGTACACAGCCACAGTAAAGTGAAATTCATTTCTGGTGCATAGTGTTTTAGAGAACATTAAATATGCATTCAAAACTTTCTCTATCTCCAAACATTTCAGGAACCATAATTGAATTGTGTGTGTAAACTATGAAAAAGGTCTAAGGAATAAAAAGTACACCAAGGTGAAAGGGAAATTCCCCTGGGTAGATAATGAGAAATGCATTTTAGTTCCCTATTTTCTCGGAATTAAATGTGTGAAAGCACAGAATGTCATTCAGACAAGAATTTATGTTTATTAGGAATTGATATTTGTTTGAAAGAAGAAGCAGAGAAAAAGGAGCTGTGACTGACTAATTCATGTCTAAATTAGTCAGTCTGACTAATTTTGCGTTTGGTTTAATGTGTTTGTCTGTTTGTGGTTATAGTGTGTGTGACTGTATGTGTGTGGACCCCAGGCAGAATAGAGAAAGCTTATGCTGGTGCTAATGGAGATCGGAATAAAGAAAGAAGGAAAAAGAAATGTGCGAACCTGTTATCTAAGATTGAATCTCTAGGGTATTTTTATTTCAATTAACTGGGTCTTAAAATCATCCTCGACTTTATAGTATTAACTGTATAACACCATGGTAGCACCTGATCCATCAACTTCCTCATCTGTCTATTTGTATCTTAGTGAGGGACAAAAATAACTATAAAGTTGCACCACTATCACCTTCATGTGACAGCACAACTGGCTGCCAAAACAAACACAACTTACACCTAAATTCTTACTAGACCTGACTGTGCAGTCAACTGCAGGATAGATGTGAATGCAGCATGGTAAAAGCTGACTGTTTCATCTTCCCTGAACTGTGGCACCACGTGTATACCCCTCTATAGGTCTACAGCAGATTAATAGCTGCTTCATTCATGTATTTTGGGGCTGTGCAACATTTAATGAATCAAAATGCACAGATGTATAATACATACATATGCCAGGAGAGATTCTTTGATTCCATTTAATAGCTGTTTCTAATTATTAATTGATTAATCAACCAATTATGGATGCATGTTCTCAAGAAGTACAATGCTTGGTTGGAATTCTGCTGTGGGACTGTGTTTGGTTATGTGTACAGTGGTGTTGGATTTTTACCTGTTTAGCTGTGCTGGTGTCGTCATTGGAGCTGTTCTTAATGATTTCTCTGTAAGTGATCTCCGAGGTCCTCTTCTTCTGCAGAGCTCCAGCCAGACGCATCCATAGCTAACAAACAAAATAAGTGCTGTTCTGTGACTTTGTAGATAACAAAAAAATGTAAATATCAAATGCAAGCGTAGCCACAAATTTAACTTTTATTTTTTAACTTATTTATTTATAAAAAGAAACTGACTAGCTATCATGGGCAGTATTTCAGCCCTATGTGTACCACTCCTACTCAATGACACAAAATGTTCCCTCATGCTGAGCGGGTCTGCTTACCTGTGGCCTCATGCTGTGAGGTATGCCACCGAGCACCAGGGAACGCAGGCGCTCAGAGCGTGGGAGGACGGGATCAATGAGCTCCCAGGTCAAATCGCCCACCGTGTGGTTGTGGGTGAACTCCAGGTGGGCTTGCCAGCGCAATCGCTGCTGGGGGTCTTCACGCTGGGGTGAGCCTTCGGAGCCCAGCCAGGACGTGGGCTTCCCATCGTCTGAGTGAGAAGAGAGTCAAGATGTCAAGATACGTGGTTCGTGTTCTTTGTTTTCAAAATATTAACCTAAGTAAACCCCAGTTTCACCTCTTGAGGGGAGGTGTTATAAAATGTAATGGAATCATGCATGACAGTGACGTGGTAGGAAAGGGGAAGGAGGGGAGTGTGGGGAAATGTGTCTGGATAAGAGACAAGTGGTTAAATAACAAAGCCAAAAATAGAACTCCCTTAATGGGAGACACACTGTACTCCAGCTGATTGTTTATTATGTGCATGATTACTAATAGGCAAAAACAACAACCAACATGAATACATCAACAACCAGCTGAATGGGGAGAATATACTGCTGCCAGACAATATTTAAGATAATTTAAGGACAGGAAACAGCCTTCTGAACCACTACGCTAGAACAGACCTTTAATAATGTACAAAACATTGTGGTACAAAAGTGGCACAAAATATTTTCCCAGCCTAAAGCAAGAAAAATAAAGTCATAACTCTAAGATCACATGCCCTTAGTCTGTGTGCATAATGCAGCTGCTGTCCAAAGATATGGAGATTTTCATTTATGCTTCATAACTGGGATGAAGGAACTTTACCAGTGTGGAAAAAATAGAGTGAAGCAAGAAGAAGTGGGCATGTTTGCATGTGTCATTGTGAGTGAACACATTACCTTCAATGTCCACTCTGAAGCCAAACTCGTCATATTGGAGTTCAGGCTGTTCTGAGGGCTCCTTCTGCAGAGACAACATGCATGTCATTAGCAGAGGAAAGGAGACTGTGACAGGCCCTGCCGATGATGGCCACAGCAGCTTTTCATAGCGTCTTAAACACCAGTTAACACAACACATCAGGTGTCAGTGTCACATGGAGCTCTTGAGGCATTCTGGTCTCTTATATTCTGTCACGCAATTCAGATGAGTCATCGTAGCTTGTTATTTTATTTTCTCCCCTCGTTCCAGAATAGTCGCTGTCTTCAGTCTCTATTTAATGTCACAGATTCTTAGGGTTTGCACATAAACACCACATGAAGTCATATCTTACCTGATGGTACTTGGCCAAAATGTCCTGAGGCCACATGCTTGGAGTGAGAGCAGAGAACGGCCCACCAGGGGCTGGTGTGTAAGTACCTAAAACAGAGACGGATACAGAAATCAGAAAAACTGGTCCTTAAACAGAAAATATGATGCGTGGAGTTTCGAAAATAACCAAGACGGTTAAACCCACAAATGAGGTATCAAGATGTATCCAAAGTAAAGAGTAATGAGTAATGCCATGTAATTTCAGCACTCCAACGTCAGCGTGTATTTGTGGACATGAATACGTTTCTCTGATAACCAGAAACAAATGTATAAAGATCCCCTTAAATTGAGAGCCTTTTGCATAAAATGCATACAAGTCTTTTACCTGACATTTTGTTGGTATTAGAGTGAAAGGCTTCTACACGCAAACACCACAGTCACTCTGGAGGAAGGAGGTCAGCAGATAGCACCCACTCTGTAAAAAGGACAAACAGAGGAAGAGAAAAGGTTGGTGGTTCAATCCCGTCATTGATTTCAACTTATAACAGTTTATATTCTCTAAACCTGCCCTTGTGCTGTACACATCATTACCATTTTTCAAAAATTATGCAAGTACCTCCACAATAGTCCAAGCTCAAGTCCAATTATTCCATAACACAGCAGTATTTCCTCTTCAAGCATTACTAATGGGAGAGATTCAGAGGCTCGACACAATTATCGCAAGTGAGAGAGAGAAGGGAGGACATTCTTGTGTCTCTTGTCATGGCCATATGACTGCTGCACTAACCAGAGGCTAATTGCTTTATTTAACTTTGTGTGTTGCTGCTCTGTTTTTAAACAGTTAAAAGGTCCAGAGGCTAAATTAACAGACATTCTGTGAGAATTCAGCTTTTTCTCTTTGAGGATGTTATCCTACTTTTACTTGGGAAGGTCTTATGCATCACATATGTGGTAGTTTTCTTAGATAACTACTCAGCCCAACTGTGGAGCAGCTCTGAAAATGGCTGTAAACGTACAAGGGCTCTGACAACTTTGCATGCTGTTCTACTGGCTAGTTTATTAATAGATGATCATGAAAATAGGTAGGTAGTTATTTTAATTTGCTAGGCTCTGTATTGGATAGCCTGCTTCTATTGTGTGTATGTTTTTATTGTGTCACATCTACTTTAAAAACTAGTTTTCTTGTAGACAAAGCTGATGGAAAAGTGTCTCTTAGTATTCCAATGACTCATTTGGAAAACTAATTAGAACTGCAATTACATAATAGGGCTGCAACTAACGATTATTTTCATTGTCGACTAATCTCTCGATTATTTCTTCGATAAGTCGACTAATCATTTTATTGAAAAATGAGTTAAAATGTTGAAAAATGTCTGTCTGTCTCGCCCAAACCCCAAAATTATGTCATCTAATGGCTTGTTTTGTACTCACGCCAAAGGGTTTTAGTTCACCGTCATGGGAGAGTGTGTAAAGCTGCTGCCAATATTTGAACGTAAGAAGCTGCAATAAGAGTATTTTGGGGTACTTTAATAGTATTTTTCTATGAAAAATGACTCAAACTGATTAGTCAACTACTAAAATAGTCACTGATTATTTAATAGTCGATTAGTCATCGATTAGTCGACTAATCGTTGCAGCTCTATTACATAAATAATGAAGCGAACAAACAGGAAGTAGGAAATATAACCGTTTACAGCACTGCCGAGCCAATCACCGTATCTCTTCTGATGGTGACATCACAGCTCTGGCTATTGTTCAGCCATCCAGAGCGCTCGCAACTTTTGTTCCAGTTATGTCACCTTTAAAAAAACGAGTATCTCAGGTGCATCAGTCAGCCAATGCTTGGAGAATATCTGAAACGGATGACTAAAAATAAAACACACCGGCGACAGCAGATTTGTACTCTTCATCTTTTTTCTTCTGTGTGCAAAAGTTCAGCAGATATGCCACGACAGAGTTTTTCAACATAATAATACAAGTGAAAAACTAGAGTGTCACTGGATTTTCTTTTTGTTCAATTTCTGCTCAGCCTATTGGTCTACAGGCTATTATACACTCCAATCACCATTTCATGCTGCATATAACACATTAAAACTGGAGGTCCAAGCCAAATAATCTGATATACCCACAACAAATATGCTGCTGTCCAAATATGTTTTGAGCACACAGAACAATCACAAATCCCCTGATTATTGGATAGTCACTTCCAATTATTTGCACAAAACTCAGATTCTGAGTCAATAAAGCAGTAAAGTAAGGGAAGAGGAATTTGGATGCTTCTAAGGTCATGACATCTTGCTATCAGGCTCATATGAAGTATCCTAAGAGGAGACACCATTTGGAACATGAGCACCGATACACCACACACAATAATACACAGGCAGACACAACAGCCCAACAACCGTAACCTGCAAAAGAGGCTCACCAGCATGCAAACACCCTGCCAAAATGATTTATTCCAGCAGCAGGCTTGCAGCATCTGAAGAGGGATTTAGGACTTAAGAGAGATGAGAAATCAATTTGAGGTTTGGAGGATGGCCAAGTACTTTCAGGCTAGCTCTGTGTGTAGCTCAGGGGAGTACTGGGATTTTGGAGCGACTCCCTTACAAGAACACAAACAGTTTAATCACCTGCCAAGAAAACCAACACGACTGAGCCCCTTCTGCAAACTGTTGCACATATTGACGAACCTAACTGCAAATTTCTGCTGCAGAAGGAAGCAAAAGTTTGACCAGACACGATTGGTTAATAACATGAATATAATCAGCAACTATTTTGATGGTCAATTGTTTAAATATTTAAAAAAAAAAAAAAAAAAGGCTACAAACGCTGGTTTCAGTGTGTCAAATGTGGGGATGTGCTACTTGTCTTTGTCTTTCATGATAGTATACTGTTAGTCTGACAAAAACATATAAATTGAAGATGATAAGGGTATTTCTTTTCTTTTCTAAAGTTTTCTGACATTATAAAGACCAAGTGATTTCTAGAAAAAATTTAATTTTGAATCCTTATTTTCAGAGTTAAACTAAGATACGATCCTTACTGCAAACGTGTACAACTAGGTCGTTTACAATGTAATAGTAAGTAGCTAGCTGTAGGCATTAGCTGTTACTGTGGTTGAGGTTAACCTGGAGTAAACAGAATCGCCCATTAACAACTTAATGTCAAGAATAGAGGCCAACCAATATAAATTGCAGCCACTGGGCTACCACAGTCACTTCATATTGGCTATATTTAGGAATTCATTCATTTTGGAGCGTATCCCAGCTGACATTGAGTGAGAGGTGGGGTCACCAGACTATCACAGGGCTGACACATAGAGACAAACAACCATTCACACTCACATTCACACCTACGGACAATTTAGAGTCCCCAACCTAACCTGCATGTCTCTGGACTGTGGGAGGAAGCTGGAGTACCCAGAGAAAACCCATGCTGACACAGGGAGAACATGCAAACTCTGCAAGGAGGGGCTCCCCCACCCCGGGGTTCGAACCCCGCACCTTAGGTGCGAACCAAGAATGCCCTTGCTGTGAAACGACAATGCTAACCACTGCATCATCATGCTAGCTATATAAAGGCCTATATAGGAAATTGCAGCACATTCCTACTTGTTGTGTTTTTATAATTACATATTTTTTATTATATTTACCATGTTAAATTCTACTAATGTTCAACTGTAAAGTTAACTGTCTTAGTGCATCCTTAGTCACTTTTTTTTGTAAGAAATTTTGAGGGGTCCTTAGCAAAACTGTTTCTGTAAAATAAAATATTAGATTATGTATTATTATCCTCACTATCAAAGTTCAATATTAGTTTTACCTCAAAAATCCACTTATCAGTTGGGGTGTTGTCAAAAAGAATAAATGGATATACTGTAAATCAAAATGTGTAAATTTTTCAACACCAATATCAAGATCTTTTTATATGATAATGAGATATATATAGTATATTGCAATAGTAAACTTTGTAGAAAGTCAATTGAGAACATGTTAATGGATTAACAAAATGACCAGACAGGACTGTCTGTACATTATCACATTGACTCAAAAATCCAATATTGCTATAAAGCAGGCCTAATTGTTGATTTACAACACTTCACAATTGCCAACACAATCAGAAATACTGCAGAGACAGCAACCTGGATTTGGACTAACATGTTACAAATTTATATGATCTTACAATATACATCATCCAACCTTATACTGATTATAAAACTACTTGAAACACCCATGAAAAAAAAACTAAAATCACTTTTGGCTGCGTCTATATAATGGGATGTTTCTCTTTCTTACTCTGACACAAGATCTTTTCCATTGTTTAGGTGCGGCTGTGCTCACCTGTGTTTGCACAAACCGGTCAACTCCCTGCCGCAGGTAAAGCAAAGAGTAACATCCTGCTGCGCAGACACAGCATGTGTGTGTGCATGTGTACACACAGCAAGACCCTTCCTTTTACATCAGTAGAGTAAGTTCTCAACTCTACTTTGATAATTGAGTTTGTGTTGCCATGTTAGGCCCACCAACACCACCCCCCTTCCTTCCCAAACACCTCCTTCAGTTGTTCTCACAGTAGCCACAACAATGGTGACTCATATTCCCCTCTCGTGAAGACGCCCACCTACACGGCCATGTATGTCAGAGAATTACAGGACCGGCTCGTGCCTTGCCAAGTTCGCTTTGGCTGAATTATGATAGACAGTTCTTTGTACTCTTTGGCAGACTGTGTCTTTCCGTCTGTCTCTCTTTCACACACACATACACAGCCACACGTCACATCTATCAATTCACACTCTCGGTTACACACAGAGGCATGTGGCACCGTGGTGAACAGGAATGTGGCTTCTACAAGAGCAGGGGAATAAGAAGATATTGTAAAACCCCTAAATCAATGCTTTCCAGGAAGTTAAGGGAACAATATTGCAGGGGGAAGTACTTAAAACAACGTACAGCTCTTCATAATTTTAGTTTATTCCAGCTGACGACCCTGCAGCTGACCCAGAAGGCACTAAAGGAGGTGTGGCAGGCAAAAAGCCTAGCAGGTACAACATCACCTGTATTCCTAATCAATGCCAAGCTGTCTAATTCACAGAACCACAGCTTTATTTGTAACTAAAGGTGGGGGGGGGGGGGGGGGAATTGATACAGCATAGTATCATGATATTTTTTAAGTGGCAATATTGTGTCAGTGCATGGACAACAAGTATTGATTTTTTTACTTAAAGAAATGATTAATATTGCAAATAAAAATTAAACTTTTGAAAGCCTATGAGAATTATAAAATGGATTGCTTTTTTGATCCACTAGATATACTTTGCTGCAGTAAAAATGACTTAAGTGAGATGAACAGACTGAAAACCTAACCTTGTTGGATAATACAGATGTTGACAAAGATTTCCTTGCAGCTGTGGTAAATCACAATATATTTTATCACAACACTAAGCATGCCACAATATGTTTAAAATTACAATAATATAGTGTGGCTTAAGCATCATGATAATATCGTGTCATTGGGCCTTTGGTGATTCCCACCCCTATTTGTAACAAGCCAAAGGACAGTAGATTACAGAAAGCAACAAGTGACTCATCTGGATTTGTGGTTACACACACACCACATAGTAATGCATGTTAAGGTGTACCACAAACATGTTTTTAATGTGCACCATCTGTATGCTGAAAAGCTCCTGTTGTGCACGTTTCTCATTAGACCAGTGGAGGGTGTGGACAGGTCTACAGGGTATGACCCACCTCTTTTTCTGGCCGTTTACAGTGTCCCAACCTATCAGCAGAAAAGCAACTGGAATTTTTTGGAGAGTATGTCCACTTCCTCCTCTGTAGCCTACCCATTTACCTTAGTGCACCCACTTCATCACCTATCACTACATCACTGCATTAGACCCAAAGCAAAATATCACATGAGCTGCTATGAAAAGTATACTGCGTACTTGTATGCAAGTGTGTGTGTGCATTACGTCAGAATAATAAATCACAACGTGATTTTCTGTATGAAGCTAGCTGAATTGTGGTTACGTCAAACCCCAGCTGACGTCAAATGCAGTCAAAAGACTGTAAAATGAGCAATACTTTCAATGAAACCTTCCAAAGGCAACACATTTGGCCGACTATATTCTCTTTAACTTCTAAACTACACCAAACGTGCACTATAAAAATAAGCTATGCCTATAAATTGATAAAACTCACCCGTCTCAGAGACCTTAATGATTCCACTGTGAGTTGTCAGCTGTTAACGTTAGCCAAACACGCTACCTCTCGCTTTAAGCTAACAGTTACACACAATGGTGGCCAACAGCCTGCTAGCATAACTTACCGTGACATTATTCTACCGAAAGCACAAGGTTACGTGTTGTGTCGGACGTGTCTTCTATCGTTGGAAAGAGTCAAACGCCATATGCTATGCCATCTTTCGTCTCGTATTTATGATTTCCCCTGCGTTATGCACCTGCTAGCGACGTGTAGCTCCGTGGTATCCCTACACCCTTTAAAAGGGCTTTCCTGACCATCCTGAGAAATAGTTCCACATCCCGGAACTACACGTCTCGCTGAAAGATATCCTTCCGCGGAGGACTGGATGACGTAGGCACACGACGTTAGCTTGTTCCATTCATTCATTAGTTTCCTCGTCCTTTTTGCTCATTCACTCCTGCAGGAAAATGAAACTCTCGCGATTTAAATAGTGCTAATGATGATGTCAGATGAAATTAGGAACACTTTATTGCGATCACAACACATTTTTATGGAAATCTGGCTCCATCTTGCTGGTTGTTGGGTGTGTTTGCTGTTTTGAATGACACGTTTAACCCCTTAAATCATGTTTTTTTTGTAAAGGACGTGTCCCTAATGAACTGACAATAAGATGAAACAGCTGTTAACCATTAAATCTGTGTTTTTTTAATGATCTTAAACATTTCCTGGAAAGATTTCCACTTGAAATGTATTATTATTACATAGGCCTATTATTTCTAAAACAATAAGATCATGAAAGTGGCATACTTTCTTTTCTTATCCTTGATTTTGAGCATTAGTAGACCATCCATACAAATTCAATTACCCTATTAAATTACTAAAAAAAAAAAGAGGAAAATATGTTGTTTTTAAAAAAATTATTTACAAAAGTGGAAAAAGGTGCTATTTAATCTTTAGTCAAGACATGAAGATCAGTTGTATCTCCTTTAATTAGTTTGAGACAAACCTCAAATTTCCTCTGAAATGGTTCCACTGATGGTTAAAACATAATGCTTTTACACAATTACTCCACAAGATGTCTCTGGTGCAATAAGTGCACAAGCCTTTTCACATTGGCATACTCATGGCTCAACTACTGAAAGTAAGACCTCACAGCACACAGTATGTTTCTTATCACAGCACCCACAAGCCTCAATCTTCCACCTCCACACAACCACCAACCCTCTCACCCACAAACACACCTAAGATAAGATATTTTAATTGAGGTCTGGTGTGCTCCTGCAGTCCAGACTGACCTTAGGGGACAGTGCCCTGTGTTATCTCACATTAGTTAGCAGAAGTCAGGCTAAATGGGCATTAGAACCATGTGATCAGCTATTCTTTAAAGTATGAGATGATTCATGCGTGACAGGAGCCGGCACTTTGATGCTGGGGCTGCAAATTTTGCACAGTGAGAGAGTGCATTTTAATTTCTTCTGAAAAAATTAGATAGTGTGTCTTTGTGCGTGTGTGTGTGCACGAAAACACATGTTGCAGAGCTCCTGACTGAGGAGTCAATAATCCTTTAGAATGCAAATCACTTAGTGTGTTGCTCTGTTTAAACCTATTACACCTTATCCTTCAGTTCCTGCAGTCTTCTTCACCTTCTTCTTGCTCCTTTGCCACTGACTCACAGACATATGGTGAAAAGTTAGTATGTCCTTTGTTGAAAATCTCTTTCGCCTCACATACCCTTCCCTCAGTCTCTCTCCTCCTCTGCCCTGTGACACATCAGCATGATGCTCCTCTGTTCACTCTAACCCTCTTGCATTGCTTGCATGCTCAGTTTGCTGCACCATGCCAGAGTGAGTCACATCATTAAAAATGCTGCAGCCTAAAGCCGACCTTGCCCACAGCTTGCCAGCCAAATAGCCCCACTAGTGCATTCGCCCTACATCTCACTGTGATGTGGGTGTGGTTCAGTCCCTTTTCTGGCACCTCTTTCCCCCTCTGCTCCACCTCCTCTAGTGCTCATCTGTCTGGCTGTCTTCGTCAGTTTTGATAGAATGATGGGCACTGTCAAGCAAGCCCTGGATCTTACACTGCAGTTGCTATGACGTCAGACAGAGGCAGAGGGAGGAGGAGGGAGATGCCAGGGGAGGAATGAGGAGACAGACAGAGATCGAGAAACAAAGAGGGAGGGAGGGGAGAGAAATAAAGCTGCGATAAGGGTGAGCAAAAAAATATAGGAGAATGAGCAAGAGACTCAACGCAGGTGTGTGTGTGTGTGTGTGTGTGTGTGTGTGTGTGTGTGTGTTTGTGTGTGTGTGTGTGTGTGTGTGTGAGTGTGGCTGAAGCACAAGAAAATTAAGGGCAAGCGTAAGGTGAGGAATAAAGAGAAAGCAGTGGGAAACAGAGTGGAAAAGTAGAGGGAGAGGGAGGAGAGAAGACGTGGGCTGAAAGAGGCATTTTTCTGCTATATTGTTCGTATGAGGCAAGAGAAACCTCAGGCTCACAGTCTTGGTGTGTATGTGGGTGGTTTTTTTAGTCAGCTCAAAAGCTCGCAAGCACACAGATACGAGCACACATGCACAAGTGCTATTGACATGTTCATTGGATCAGATGAAAGGGATTATTGATCCAGATGAATCAGCAGCTTGCCATCAGATAGATGAGAGACAGAACGAAAGACAGAGAGAGGACCACTTGTTCACATTGAGCCAATTTGCTGCAGTGCTGCAGTGTTCCATCAGGACAGGAGATAGCGCTGTTGCATCACACCAGTCAGTTTACAATTAACCCTCTATGTGGGCCATATTTGAGTAGATTATATTATAAATGTAAATGTGTGCCCACATGTGCGCATGCATGCAGGCGTGCACTGATGGGTACTAAAACAGGCCTGTGTGCCCACATGTATCAGTGCTGTTCATGCGTATTAGTTTATGCATGCATATTTATCTGTACTATGTCATATGTACGTGCTATGTTTTCCCAGCATGCATAATAAAATCACAATGAGGTGCAAATCGAGTGAGCCCTCCTTCTAATACTTCCATGGGCCCAATTTGAGCTAAATTGAAATCATTGAGCCGCACATGATTAAGTCTGCACGTCTCCAGTGTCATACAGAGACGCACAGGGCCACCCTTTAAGCAACACGGAGCACACAGGTTTATGTAACCTGCATGATGTGGACTCTGCCGTTGGGATCATTTATGCATATAAGGCCAGGGTAGGCTAAGCCAGGCTGGGTCTCTCGGGCTGGATCACGGGGCTTTCACGCAGCTGTCCCCCCCCAGTCTCAGAGGATCTCTCCTGTGATGAGGAGGATTGAAGGTAAAGGGCAAGGGCTCTGAGGCTACGCATCGCAATGGCAAGTGATTTCTCTTGGGTGCTGTGATGGGAGTGGCTGCTCTTTTTTATTTATGATTCTGTGTTAAATCTATAGTGTGTGGGGCCGAGAGAGAAAAAGGAGGGCAAACATGTTTACCTGTGTTACCAGTTTGACAAAATGGGGCAAAGTCAAAGATATTTGAATACCATGTTTCCTGTAACTTACTTCTGGGTCGTGGCAAGGGCAAGGAGGAAAAGAGAAGGATAAAAAGAATCTCAAGAGTCTCAAGAGTATCATGACATCTTTAATGCACTTGTATACAAATCCTACATTCTCTCCGTCTGAGCTTGTTTTATTATTTTCTGAGGTCAAGTCATTTGGGAAATGATGCACTGAGCATCTAAACAAACACACACACTCCGGAGGTTGATGTAAAGGAGGTGAGTGTGATGATGATGGCGAAGGTCAAGAGGGACCAATGTAGTGAATGCTGGAATGAAGGAGAGGGGAGCAGGGGAGCATGGATTTACAATGTGAGGTATAAAATGCGGAGCCAAAGAGGAAGAGATCGTAATCATAAAGCCACAGCAGAATTTGTAGATGCTATTTTCTCTGGAGCATATAAAAGAGCTGCATTAATGCATCACTGTAATAAAACGTTTGTATTTCTACTTTAACAAAGTGTTACAAGAAACCACAAACACTGGGCTGTTGCTACACCAGGAAGTCTGCGTTTTGCAGTGTAACAACAGAACTACAGTGTGGTTTCTATTATCGCAATCACTCGTTTAGCAATTTGTAAAACTTCAAAGTTTTGTAACCAGTGTTTACAACTACAACAGACACTGCCACCAACCCTCAGATATTGTTCTAGTAATATGTTGTTTGCACAGCAATTATGCCACTTCATTCTATCCATCTGCTGAGGCCATTTGTTGGGTGGGAGGCCAGTCATTATTTGTCTTAGTGATAGACACAGATGGATGGATGTTATGGCTTCATAAATCCCTCTAACCTCGGCCCTCCCCTCTTGTATTTATGACCATGGATGTAATGTTTGTTAACCCTAGGACCCCTTGCTCAGTGTGTTACAGTGTCTGTGTGTGTGACCTGCTCAGATTATCTCAGACAGCCATGTCTAAAAATAGTGTGGATCACAATCCATCATAAACTAGCAGATTAGTGTTTCATTCTATGTCAGACTGCAGTGAGAGCTAAGAATGTGTATATAGATATTAGAAAACCTTAACCTATTAATATATTTTCACTCAATTCAATTCAGTTCAGTAGAACTTTATTTATACCGAAGGAAATTCTTGCGCCAGAGAATGCTCCAAATTACAGTAACACTAGCACCCACAATTTTAACAATTCACAACCAGAACAACCAGTGGGTCCCCCGAGTCACTCACTGGGCCCAGTTTTATAACAACAGACCCTCTCACACATAGTTGTCATGACAGGACACAGTTATTTAAAACCATTTTCTTGTGTATGCATGGGTTTTGATGCTATAGTTGCCACTAGAGAGTAGCAACTATAGCATCAGTGGATCCCAGTGGGTCTTGCCACACACTGCCACCCTTTGGCCAGGTGTTGTAAGTGCAACACAAATCTCTAAAAACCAAGATGGCCGATGGAACGCAAGAAATGTTGTGCAGCTCAGGAATTTATCACCAATCCTACTATAATAGGAGACCCTTGCAGGTAAATACAATTTGTAAACATCAAGTAACATCTAAGAAGAAATGCAGTTGTTAAATTTTTCGAGTACTTATTTTATGTTGGGAGGAAATTACAATTAATCATCTGTCCTCTAAACTGGACATCATGCAGCACTGGCTATATTTTAACTACAATTAATACCATTATTGCAACAAAGTACCTCATCTGCAGTGACTTTATAGGCCCTAATAAATTAATTTATGTTATCAGACTGCAACTTGCAATGTGTTTGTGACAAAAATAATATTTTGATAAGATGTTTGTAAT